CAGGTTTAACGTCTTTCAGCCCCAAAATTAAAAGATTCTAGTAAACGTTCTGTCTGGAAGGCCACATTGATACTTTTTCTCATAAGAGAACTTAATTCTTATTTCCTTCTCTCAGACAAGATTCCTGTGCTAAGAGAAGGAAAACTACCTGTGGTGGGAATTGGAAAGCACCTGTGTGGTGTGGCAACAGGTATGTGAATACACCAGTAATATCTAAATTAGTGCACTACTTAGCTTATATGAGCCTAACCATTTCAATGGTTCCTTTCTTTCTTTCCTTCCTTTCTTTCCAACAGGGTTTTACTATATAGTCCTGGATGGCCTGGAATTTGCAGTGTAGATCAGGCTGGCTGCCTTCAAACTCACAGAGCTCCACCTGCCTCTGCCTCCCAAGTGCTGGATTAAGGCCTTGTTATTCCATGTGGGTGCTGGGAATCAAACTGGTTCCTCCAAAAAAGCAGGGAATGCTCTTAACTGCTGAGCCATCTCTCCAGCCCCTGGAGTAGATTTCTTATGTTCACAACTCACAGTTTTCATAATAGCACTGGCCAATGTTAAATAAAATACATGGCTTGCTTATTTATATGTCCATTTGGACTATTTGCAGGATGACCTGAGAGTGTTTCATTAAATACTGGGTTGCATAGACTTTAAAGTTCTTTGACTTATATTGTAACAAAAAAAGAAATAAATTATTTAGAGAAACTGTTCCACTCCAGAAGGTAGGTGTTAGAGGACCTAATTGGGAAGTGCCTGGTTGTGAAGTACTCGCCCACTAGAAGGTTATTGTGTTTCAGCATTCTTAGAAAAAGAAAAACTAAATTTCTTTTATACCAGAAGAACCTAAGATGTTTTCCCTTAGCTCTTCAGATTCTCCTGGGAGAGTAGAAGCGCACGTTAAATGCTAAGGCTAACAACCAAAACTAGGGATGGTTATTTATTATTGAGTGATGATTTAGCAGGTTACATGAAAAGTGCAGGGATGTATTAGTGCTCTAAATGTTCACTACTGTTAACCTCCCAGCTCCTGCTTACTTTATCATCCCCACATGTATGAAGAACGTGAAACCTGCATAGGACATTATTCAAATCTACCGAAAATAACTTTTGAGTACTGTGTATTTGTGTTGTCTTCTATATTTTTTAGAAGGCATAAAAGCCGGGGGTGGGAGGGAAGTACACATCTTCCCATCCAATCCATATTTCTCAAGAGCATAGCCAGAGTGGCTGTCTCTCACATGGCGTGCACTTCCCCTCACTTCCCCTTACTCACCATCCCAGTTCCCTTTATCTCTGCTGCAGCTCCTCCTCCTCTTGAAATGGCATGCCCTTCTCTTCTGTGACACTTCTTAGCTCTCCCCTTCATCACTGCCATTCTTTCCATTTCTCCCATGTCTTCTGCATCCTGTCCTTTTAAGTATTAATATGCAGATCACCTGCCACACCTGTGTCTTTCCCCTTTTTGAATCTCATGAGTCACTTGATCTCGTGGCTTACTGTCCATGGACATCAGACCATGTATCTTCTCATATGCCTTATTGTTCCGGCAGGATTTCCACGGTTACCCAGTCAAAAGAGCTGGTCAGTTTCTACTCAGCCTTGAGCTCATTTATCACCAGTTTTTGGGCCCCTCCTTAGATAAGATACACTTCCCTAGCAGTAGGAGAGTACACTCTTGCATTTCTTTCCTTGTTTTTTAATTCTCTGTTTGTGTATCTAATTATTCCACTATACTGTGTGGTTTTTTTGTTTGTTTGTTTGTTTTAAGAATAGTTCATATATTTGGCCAGGTGTGGTGGTGCATGCCTTTAGTCCCAGGTCTCAGGAGGCAGAGGCAGGTGAATCTCTATGAGATTGAGGCCAGCCTGGTCTATATAGCAAGTTCCAGGTCCTCTGGGGCTACAGGAGATCCTGTCTTAAAAAGACCAAAAAATTAAAAAGCAGTACATGCACTGTGGAATCAGTCTTCAGAACAACTAAAAACACTAGACTATGACGTGCGAGGCTGTTGAATCAACCCTAAGTTTTCAGATGTGATAATGATATTGTGAGCGTGTGGAAGGTCTGCATTCTTAAGAGATGAATACAGAAGGCAGGTGGATCTTTCTGAGTTTGAGGCCAGCCTGGTATACATAGCAAATTCCAGTCAGCCAGTGCTCCAGAGTGAGACTCTGTCTCAAAATAAATAAATAGATAAATAACAAATAATAAATAAATAAATACTGAAGAGTTGATTTTTTAATACTATATTCTTTTTAAGGACTTATTCATTTTTATTTTTTGTGTATGAGTATTTTGTGTGCATGGATGGGCACTGTGTAAGGTGCCAGTAGAGGCCAGAAGACGGTGTTGGATCCCCTGGAATTAGAGACACAGAGGACTGGAAGCT